TGTCATAGAATGCCCCAAAAAAGCACTGGATAGACAGACAGACAGACAGACAGACAGACAGACAGACAGACAGACAGACAGATGATAGATAGATAGATAGATAGATAGATAGATAGATAGATAGATAGATAGATAGATAGATAGATAGATACAGGGCTTTTTTGGTCACAGAACGCCCCAAAAAAGCACTGGATAGATAGACAGACAGACAGACAGATAGGCAGGCAGGCAGGCAGGCAGGCAGGCAGACAGGTAGACAGATAGAGAGATAGACAGACAGACAGACAGAGATATAGACAGACAGACAGATAGATAGACAGAGACAGAGAGATAAATAGATAAAGAGAGAGAGAGAGAGACAGACAGACAGACAACCTTTATTGTCATTTTTTACTGGAGGCACAATGGCACACATTAAAAACAAAATTTAATTGCTTGCTCTCCAAGTTGATTTGTTGTCTAGTAAAATATTTGTGGGAACCCCCACCCCCCTCAGAGAGCACCAAGGGCCCCACAGTTCAACCCTGAGCTAGAGGTATTCTCTTCTCTAAGACACTCCTCAAATTTCTCCTGGAAATGTAAACGAAAACTTTGTTACAAGAGACTGTTAACAACAAGAGGTTGCAAAAAATTCTGCAGTGAGCCGAGAGCTGGGTTACACAACGGGGCTGCAGTGAAGAGTCCTACTAAACCCACTCAATACAATGAGGAAGACTTTCCAAGTAAACTGGCAAACTTGCAACGCACACAGGAGTGATTCCCATGTAGTGTACGTTGATAATTACACACAGCTCTTTTGGAGATAGATGTTTCGGTGGGCATTGTAAATAACAGGGAACTGCAATAAGAATAACAATAACAATAATAGAGTTGGAGGTCTTCTAGTCCAACCCCCTGCTCAGGCAGGAAACCCTATACCAGGGGTGTCAAACTGCCGGCCCACAGGCCAGACACGTCACGGTGAAACCGTGTCCATCCCATTGCCGGGAAAAAGTTCCAATATGTCGCGCGACGTCACGTGACATTGCGAGTTGGACGTGTCTGCCCTATACCATTTCAGACAAATGGCTGTCCAATCTCTTCTTAAAAACTTCCAGTGTTGGAGAATTCACAACTTCTGGAGGCAGTTTTTGACTTACAGTAGTTTTTGACTTACAGTAGTTCATTTAGTGACCGTTCAAAATGACAACGGCACTGAAAACAGCAACTTATAACCACTTTTCGCGCTTACGACCGTTGCAGCACCCCTGCGGTCACGTGATCAAAATTCAGACGCTTGGCAACCGATTCGTATTTATGACGGTTTGCAGCATCCCGGGGTCACGTGATCCTCCTTTTGTGACCTTCTGAAAAGCAGAGTCAATGGGGGAAGTCAGATTCAGTTAACAACTGTGTTGCTAACTTAACAACTGCAGGGATTCACACAACAACTGTGGCAAGAAAGGTCGTAAAATGGGGCAAAACTCACTTTACAAGTGTCTCGCCTGTAACGGAAATTTTGGGCTCCATTATGGTCGTACATTGAGGACTTACGTAATATGATCCAAAGATTTGGCTTAGATCTGTACTAAGTTCTACATTTAGATCTGTACTACAGTTCTACATTTAGGCAAGAAAAACCAAATGCACAGGTATAATATAGGGGGTACCTGGCTCAATAGTAGTAACTGTGAGAGGGACCTCGGAGTCCTAGTGGACGATCCCTTAAATAGGAGCCAGCCGTGTGCTGCAGCTGCCAAAAAGGCCAACACAGTGCTGGGCTGCATTAACAGAGGGATAGAATCAAGATCATGTGAAGTGTTAATACCACTTTACAAGGCCTTGGTAAGGCCACACTTGGAATAGTGCATCCAATTTTGGTCACCACGATGTAAAAAACATGTTGAGACTCTAGAAAGAGTGCAGAGAAGAGCAACAAAGATGATCAGGCGACTGGAGGCTAAAACATATAAGGAACCGTTGCTGAAATTGGGTATGTCTAGTTTAATGAAGAGAAGGACAAGGGGGGGACATGATAGCAGTGTTCCAGTATCTCAGGGGTTGCCCACAAAGAAATGGGAGTCAAGCTATTCTCCAAAGAACCTGAAGGCAGGACAAGAAGCAATGGATGGAAACTCATCAAGGAGAGAAGCAACCTAGAACTAAGGAGAAACTTCCTGACAGTTAGAACAATTAACCAGTGGAACAACCTGCCTCCAGAAGCGGTGAATGTTCCAACACTGGAAGTTTTTAAGAAGAGACTGGACAGCCATTTATCTGAAATGGTATAGGGTTTCTTTCCTGAGCAGGGGTTTGGACTAGATGACCTCCAAGGTCCATTCCAACTTTACCATTATTATTACGTTCTCCCTCCCACAGAATTCAGCCAAACTTATTTTTGAGGAAGCAGATTTGCAGTCAACAGCCTGAAAGTGATTTAATCGTGTTGATTTTGAAGGGCAGGTGTTTTCTTTAGAATAAAAGGAAATGGTTGCCTGTGATATCATCGTATTGTTTACACACAACAGATCGTAACAATAGAGTAACACTGCGTTGTGGAAGCTTTGAAAGGAAGTACATGTGTTGGTTACGGCAAAGCCGTAACAAAGTGCTTTAAGAAAGCACATATTCTCTGGATTTTCCTGCTGTTACAGCGAAGAGGCCTTGGCATAAAGGGGGGGGGGAAATATAACCTTGGAAAAAATAGATATTCGGTAACGTGAACTACTTACAGCTGGCTGCACGCCATTTGATTTTATAAGCCATAATTGAGTTAGCATTTCCTACCTTGTGCTTTCTATTAGTGCTAAGACTACAACTCCCAGAATTCCGTAGGCCCAAGCTTAGGAAAGGCAGGCAAAATGGATCAACAACGATGGAAAGGAAGGGAGGAAATGGAAAACATATGAATGATTGGGGCAGGGGGGATGAGATGGAGGAGAAAAGCTACTAATACTGGCATTCCACATCAGCTACTTTCCAGATGTTTGAGGAATGCTCCCTCTTTCCCTCTCTATAGAATTCTAGATAGGAAGGGACCTTGGAGGTCTTCTAGTCCAACCCCCAGGCCCAAGGTAGAAGTCTTCATGCCATCCCAGATAAATGATGGCTCAATCTTTTCTTGAAAACCTCCAGCGATGGAGCACCCACAACTCCAGGTGGCAAGCAGTTCCATTGTCCTCTCTCTGACTCTTATCTGTCTGTCTGTCTATCTGTCTCACCTCTCTCTCTCTCTCTCTCCCTCTCCCTCTCTCTCTCTCTCTCTCTCTCTGTGTCTCTCTCTCACACACACATACATAATACAAATCCATAAAAGTTAGGGAATACACTTTGAATGGGAATTATTATTTTTGAATGGAGACCTTCTATTCCGGTATTCATTTCCATCCACCATCAGCCTTCCAGGTACAAGCAAGTCCTCAGGTTATGACCCCAGCTGAGCCCAAAATCTTATGTTGCTAAGTGAAACATTTGTAACTGAGTTTTGCCCCATTTTACATTAGAATAGAATAGAATAGAATAGAATAGAATAGAATAGAATAGAATAGAATAGAATAGAACAGAACAGAACAGAATAGAATAGAATAGAATAGGAATAAGAGTAGAATATAGAATAGGAGTAGAGTACAGTAGAGTAGAATAAAATAAGAATTAGAATATAGGAGAAAAGTAGAATAGAGTAGAAAATAGAACAGAACAGAATAGAATAGATATTGGAATATAGAATAGAGTAGAGTAGAGTAGAGTAGAATAGAATAGAATAGAATAGAATAGAATAGAATAGAATAGAATAGAATAGAATAGAATAGAATAGAATAGAATAGAATAGAATAGAATAGAAATAAGAGTAGAATATAGAATAGGAGTAGAGTACAGTAGAGTAGAATAAAATAAGAATTAGAATATAGGAGAGAAGTAGAATAGAGTAGAAAATAGAACAGAACAGAATAGAATAGATATTGGAAGATAGGATAGGATAGGATAGGATAGGATAGGATAGGATAGGATAGGATAGGATAGGATAGGATAGAATGCAGGATGGGATGGGATAGGATAGGATAGGATCTATTGAGAATAGAATAGCATAGCATAGCGTAGCGTAGCGTAGCGTAGAGTAGAGTAGAGTAGAGTAGAGTAGAGTAGAGTAGAGTGGAGTGGAGTAGAATAGAATAGAATAGAATAGAATAGAATAGAATAGAATAGAATAGAATAGAATAGAATAGAATAGAATAGAATAGAATAGAATAGAATAGAATGCAGGATGGGATGGGATGGGATAAGATGGGATGGGATGGGATGGGATGGGATGGGATGGGATAGGATAGGATAGGATAGGATAGGATCTATTGAGAATAGAATAGAATAGAATAGAATAGAATAGAATAGAATAGAATAGAATAGAATAGAATAGAATAGAATAGAATAGAATAGAATGCAGGATGGGATGGGATGGGATAAGATGGGATGGGATGGGATGGGATGGGATGGGATGGGATAGGATAGGATAGGATAGGATAGGATCTATTGAGAATAGAATAGAATAGAATAGAATAGAATAGAATAGAATAGAATAGAATAGAATAGAATAGAATAGAATAGAATAGAATGCAGGATGGGATGGGATGGGATAAGATGGGATGGGATAGGATAGGATAGGATAGGATAGGATCTATTGAGAATAGAATAGAATAGAATAGAATAGAATAGAATAGAATAGAATAGAATTTCTTTATTGGCCAAGGGTGATCAAACACACAAGGAGTTTGTTTCTGATTATTACATGATTATTAACGATAATCACAATAATACCCAATAAGAGGGGGCAGTAAAGAAGATAAGCAATATGCTCAATCATCCTACAGCCAGACTGCACACGAATAATCATCCTACAGCCATACTACGTGGGTAAATATACAACACATTGCAGAGGATCCCTTGACACTGGATACCGGGGGGAGGGGAGGGGAAGGCGGCCTCCGGGAAGAGGGTGAAAGACACCCCTCTTAGGAGTATCTCCTTACCCAGAAGTAGGAGCTTGACTTCGCGGGCCGCTTTCTCTCCGTCTTCTCGGAGATTTCTGTCGATCATCTTGCTGCGCTCGGCCGCCGCCTTGTCCTCCGCGCTTAGAGTGCAGCCCATCGCGGGGGGTTATTTTTTGGGGGGTGGGGGTGGGGGGGGGGAGAAAGACCAGCAAGAAGAGGGGGAGAAGAGACTTAGCTAAGGGGGAGGCCGGGATAGGGTGGAAGGGAAACTGAGCCGGCCAAGCACCCCCCCCCCAAAAAAAACCCCAAGTGGGGAAGAGAGAGGTCCCGGAGGGGGGTCGACCCGCCGTCCCAAGCTTTGCCAAAGGATCCAAACGTCGGAGGGAAAGGAAAGGAAAGAGTCCCGGGGTTCCTTGCAAAATATTTCAGCACTTCGGGGAGGAAAGTCGGAGGGGAGGGGGAGGAGGAGGAGGAGGAGGAGGAAGGTGCAATAAGAAGGAAAAAAATAATCCACCCAAGAGAGGATGAGCTACCGCGGGGAGGCTTGCAAACTGTAGCCTTTTGAAAAAGAAAAAGAAGGAGAAGGAGGAGGAGGAGAAGAAGAAGAAGAAGAAGAAGAAGAAGAAGAAGAAGAAGAAGAAGAAGAAGAAGAAGAAGAAGAGGAAGAGGAAGAGGAAGAGGAAGAGGAAGAGGAAGAGGAAGAGGAAGAGGAAGAGGAAGAGGAAGAGGAAGAGGAAGAGGAAGAGGAAGGGTCGTCCTTTGTTTTCTTCCCGCGGTTGCAATGCAGAAGAAGGGAGAGAAAAGAAATAATCCACTCAAGGCAGAAAAAAAAAGAAGACAAAAGAGTCAAAAGTATCTCACAGCTGCACCCGGTGGGGTTGAAGTCGGAACCCGGCTCAATGCCAAAGGGGTAGGGGTTTGGGGGGGCGCAGAGGTTGTGCCAGGAAGGGGGCGCCCCACTGCCAGCCTCTCCCCAAATTTCGCCCTTCTCGCCCGGTTGAATGGAGGAGGAGGAGGAGGAGAAGAAGAAGCAGGAGCGGCGACGGCGTTCAGTCCCCCCCCCGCCCCGCGCAGACACACAAACACACATACACGCGCGCGCGCACACACGCACTTCCATCCGCCCCGCCCGGGATTCGGCAAGCGCCGCCTTCGGAGCCGGGGGGGGGGGAGAGAGGCGGGGTGGCTCTGGAAAGGTGGAAAGGGGGGGGGGAGGCAGGGAAGCGCTGGGAAGGCCCCTGGAAGCCGGATGGGTTGGGGTGGGGTGGGGGGGGACCGTGGCTGGAGGGGGATGCGCAGTGGAGGGCCCTAACCGGCCGGGGTGCTGGGGTGACTCTGTTTTTGTGGGTGTCTCTGTGTGTCTGGCTCTCTCTTTTCTCTTCTCTCTCTTACTCACTCTCTCCCTCCCTCTCCCCCCTCTGTCTCTCTCTGCCTCTCTCACTCACTCCCTCTCTCTGCCTCTCTCTCTCACTCTCTTTCTCAGTCACTCTGCCTCTCTCCCTCTCTCCTTCTGTCTCTCTTTCTCTCTCACTCCCTCTCCCCCCTCTGTCTCTCTCTGCCTCTCTCACTCACTCCCTCTCTCTGCCTCTCTCTCACTCTCTCTCTTTCTCAGTCACTCTCTCCCTCTCTCCTTCTGTCTCTCTTTCTCTCTCACTCCCTCTCCCCCCTCTGTCTCTCTCTGCCTCTCTCACTCACTCCCTCTCTCTGCCTCTCTCTCACTCTCTCTCTTTCTCAGTCACTCTCTCCCTCTCCTTCTGTCTCTCTTTCTCTCTCACTCCCTCTCCCTGCCTCTCACTCCCTCTCTCTCTCTCTCTCCCTCCCTCCCTCCCTCTGTCTCTCTCACTCACTCTCTCTGTCTCACTCTCTCACTCACTTACTCACTCTGTCTTTTTCCCTTTCCCCCTCCTTCTATCTCTCTCTTCCTCTTCCCACTTTCTCTCTCTTTCTCTCTCCCTTCCTCTCCCTCCCTGCCTCTCTGTCTCTCTCTCACTCTCTGTCTTCTTCTCCCTCTTCCCCCCCTCTTTCTCCCTCCCTCCGTCTCCCCTGTCTCTCTCTCCCTCTCTCTGCCTGTTTCACTCTCTCTTACTCTTTCTTTGTCTCTCTCTGCCTGTCTCCCTCCCTCCCTGTCTCTCTCACACTCTCTCTACCTCTCTCTCACTCTCTTACTTTCTCTTTCTCTCACTCTCTCCCTCCTATCTCTCTTCCCCTCCCTCTTCCCACCCTCTCTTTCTCTCTGTCTCTCCCTTCCTGCCTCTCTGTCTCTCTCTCTCACTCTCTCTCTTTCCTTCTCTCCCTCTTCCCCCTCTCTCTTTCTCTCTCCCTCCCTCTCCCCCTCTGTCTGTCTCTCTCTCTCTCTCTCTCACTCTCTCTCTCTCTCTCACTCACTCACTCTCTCTCTGTCTCTCTCTCACACTCTCCCTCTGGCTGAGGAATTCTAGGAGCTGAAGTCCACAAGTCATAAAAGGGCCAAGTTTGAAGACCCCTGGTATATATATGCAAGGAAGACAATAAGGATTTGAGGACCTGACAGTATAATTTAAAACAAATTATAAAAATTGCAATGACAGAAATGATGGCCTGAAATAAAAATTTCATGAGAATCCTTTAGGACCCTGTATCCTACCCTGATTGCTAGATCCTGGGTTTGCTCATTGCCCCTAAGATTGTCGGTCTTCTCTGACCCTGTTCAATAACTTTTACACACAACTAGTGCAGTCCTCAGAGCAATCTCTAGTAACAAGCTCCAGTAATTTTATATCAGCATTATTTTCCACTGACCTGGACGTAATTAGATAGCGTCAAAAATGTTGGCCCCACTTTGTCTGAAATTTGAGTCTTTGTACGAAAGGAAAAGTAATGACACCAAAAATGACTTTTTCGCTACCCCGAGCTGTATAATCATCATCTAGATGACACAATTTGGTGCCACTTCATTACCTGCCACCTTCATCCAACATCTAGCTGTTTCACCAGGATGGCTTCCTCGGAATAATTTCTCCAGCAGGGGCTTTTATTCACTGATGTTGTCCCCAAAGTGCTTTTTCAAAAGGCATCTGGACTTTCTTTGTCTTTCTCTGAAGACGTTTCGCTTCTCATCCAAGAAGCTTCTTCGGTTCTGACTGAACGGTGGAAGATGGAAGGATTTATATTCCTCGCAGTCATCTGGTCGTTGGTACTCTCTCTGAGAGTCATTGAGGCCCCTTGGAGGTTTATCTGTGCCCTCATGGCAGGGGTAGGCAACCTTGGCTCTTTTATGACTCGTGGACTTCAACTCCCAGAATTCCTGAGCCAGCCACGCTGAGGGGAAAGGGAGAGGTTTCCAAGCTGAGCCATGCTGGCTCAGGAATTCTGGGAGTTGAAGTCTACCAGTCATAAAAGGGCCAAGTTTGAAGACCCCTCCCAGAGTTCCTGAGCCAGCATGGGGGAACTATGGCCCCTTCATGACTCGTGGACTTCAACTCCCCCAGAATTCCTGAGCCAGCCTGGCTCAGCTTGGAAACCTCTCCCTTTCCCCTCAGCATGTGGCTCAGAATTCTGGGAGTTGACGTCCACGAGTCATAAAAGAACCAAGGTTGCCCACACCTGCCTCAGGGTCACCTGAATAATGCAAATGTGTGTGGAAACATCTTCTTATAACAGTCCTTTCAGCAGTTTCAACAGTTCATTTAGTGACCGTTTAACGTTACTATGAAAACGAAAAAAGTGACACGGCCATTTTTCATACCGTGTTTTTCCGAAAATAAGACTGGGTCCAGTTTTTCTGCGGCTGAAGAAGCACCTTCATTCTGCAGCTCAGAATGGAGCTCAGGCCTGCATTTCGCGGTCAAAGGCCTTTCTGGAAGGCCACTGCGGTTGATTACCAAGCAATGGATTCAATCTATAGCTCGGTTCTCGGCTACAGTGTCCTTCCGGAAAGGCCTGTGGCTGAGAAATTCAGGCCTGTCTGCAGAAGACACCACAGAAGAAGTGGGCTAGCGAGGAGAGGCCTGGCTGCAAGTGGGTGCAGGCCCACCCTCCTTACCCCCCCCCCAGCTTGATTTTTGGATGTGTGCCTTGCCCCAAAACCAGGGTTTATTTGGGGGGTAGGCCCACCCCCAAAAATCAAGCTAGGGCTTATTTTCAGGGAAACATAGTACTTAAGACTCTTTCAGCATCCCCAAGATCCTGTAATCAGAATTCAGACGCTTGACAACTGACTCCTATTTACGACGGTTGCAGAGTCCCGGAGTCATGTGATTTCCCCCTTTTGCGACCTTCTGACAAGCAAAGTCAACCGGGGGGGGGGGGCAGATTCACTTAACAACTGTGTGTCTGACTTCACAACTGCAGTGATTCCTTTAACAGCTGCAGCAAGCTAGGTGGTGAAATGGGGCAAAACTCATTTGACGCACGTTTCACTTGGCAGTAAAAATTGAGGGCTAAATTGCTGCGGTAAATGGAGGACTTCATCCAAATGAGAGTTTCTGAATAGAAGCAAAAATTCCATCTTTAAAAGTTCTGCCTTCCTCTTTGCTCTTTTAGACTGTCCAGCCCTTCACTTAAACAGCTCGGACCAAAAACGCCATTTTTAAAATACATGGCTTGCTCCTGATGTCCCTTCAGACGGCTGCGTTAACATTTCACAAAAAACAAATTCATTTCGCCTCGCCTCAGTGGCTAATCGATTTTATCGGTGTGACCTTTTGCAGACGGAAAGCCGTTTAGTCAGTGAAGCTGGCATTGTGTTGGCATTGTGTTGTGTCTTATAAAGTCCCACAGATGTGAGAAGAGAAGGTCTTCTCGCGGGTTCGGTACGCCGCTTCAAAACCCTCCGTTGCCTCTTTTCGTTTTCGGAGGTGGCAATGCGCGAACTCCACACCGTTGAAAGGAGCAAGGCACAACAGGCTCACCTGTTGATTAGCAGACACATGACATCCTCTTTTTTTTGGGGGGGGGAATTGTACGATGATAAAGCCTAGCAGAAAAGCATCTCATCCCGTTGCCTCAGCAACGCTAGTCCATTCACTGTGCCAGCAACGTGGTTGAGTGACCTTCATCCATCAATGGAGCACTTTGCTTTTGATACGTCGGTGAAAAATGGGATGTGGGCAGCTCATCAAGCTTTTGCTATGTTCAGTCCAGATTCGTGTCCGTGGATATCTCCTGTTTGTTCTTTGGGTTTCAGGGTTTACACTTT